ATGGGAATATTCTTTGTTGCAAAATTAGTATTAACTATTGTTGACACGGGTATTAATATAACTTTTTATATCAAACCTTTGGGTGGAGTACAAAGCTTTTAGCAGGATTTTTTTCTAGCATTACCCATAGCTTAATACTCCAGTCTCATAAACAAAAATACAATAAAAATTAAGAGTTTGATGATGACTCTTTGGAAAGAAAAAATGTTCGGCGTTATAATAATAAAACCAATATTTATCCAAATCTTCCGTTTGAAATGGTTTAAAACCGTCAAAATTAAAAAATTAAAAAATATTTGTACCCATTTTTATTTAAAAAATATTTGTATCATAAGTATTTATTAATATATTAAATTATTTAGTTTCTATAAAAATTAATTTTATATGGAACTATAAATATTGTTGCAGATGATTTTTTTTTTATTACAACGCAAAATAAATACATAAAATGTTAATTATATAATGTTATGTATTATATTTCATTTTATTATTGTACACATAACTATGCAAATTTTATATAGATAATTTCACGTACATATTATGACATTTTTAAAATTAAAGTATAGGTGTAATATAATATTATAGTAAGTCAGTTATCCATTATCTATATGACCGCTAGCATTAATTTAAGTTATCAATTATTATAAATTGTCATTAATCCAAATGTTGTGTTTTAATTAATTATTATGTGTAAATAAATGTGTTCTGTACATTTGTAAGTACCTACATAATTTAATTTTAATTTATATATATTATATGAACAATAAAAATGTTTAGTTTATACATATTGTTTTTTTTACATATAGGTACTGCAATTGCAATAATATAAATAATTATATTATTACAGTAGGTATTTATTTAATAAATATTATGTACAACAATCAACTTCATATTTTATGTAGGTATTATGTTTAAAATTAAAATAAGTAAATACATCAATATTTACTAATCAGAATTATTTAAAATGTTATTAATAAATAAAAAATTAAATTATCGAACAAAAATTGCTTCATGTCATTTATAAGTTACAACGTAAAATACGTAACACTTTTATTAAAAAATCTATTTAATCGTAATGAAATTATTATTTTATATGTATTTTAAAAAGTAATTGGGTTAGAAATATAAATCGAGTTCTGGTGTATAATAATTTGTATGCTTAATTTATTGGTTAATATTTTTAAGCAAACAGGAGCTTTAATTAAAAAATAGGTATGCGACTTGCTAGCCAGTAGCGAGTCAGCGCACTGTATAGAATTCACGGGCGACAATTTACGTAACGGCCTGTAATGACGTTTGACGCGAAACGTTCTAAACGACAGTCTGTGAAATAATAATGTACCTCTCCCGCAATAACAACACGCGGACCCCGTCGCGTACACGATAGGCGTGGTTACGGCCTACCACGACGGCGGCGATATGAAATTCAACGCCATCTCTTGAGCGTTGTATACGTTTCACTTTTACTGTGACGCCCTCTTAACACACATCTTCAAAAATACCACCATCCTTGCGTAGCACACACGTTAAATTTAAGTGTTAATGAAGCGATCACAAGCAATACAGAGCTGAGTCAAGTGATAAAATCATGTAAAATAATAGTAGGGCACTTTAAACATAGTACTTTTGCTAATGAAAAATTAAAAAATTACCAAATCCAAATGGGTTTACCACAACTAAAAGTCAAACAAGACGTACCTACAAGATGGAACTCGAGTTTAATTATGATGGAAAGACTCTTCGAGATTAAAGCCCCTTTATCTGCTGCATTAACATCACTTCCACGTGCTCCAAACGGCTAACTGCTATAGAATGGGAATTAATTGAAGATTGTATACCACTATTGAAACCATTTGAGAGCATGACCACTGAACTATCTGGACAAACTTATCCAACTTTATGTATGGTAATACCACTTGTACGAGGCCTGCAGTATACTATTGGAAAGAGAACGCCAAAGACTGCCACAGGTCAAATATTAAAAACAACACTATCAAATGCAGTTTCCAGACGTTTGGGGTCTTTGGAAGGCAATAAAATAGTTGCCAAATCTACATTTATTGATCCTAGATTTAAAAAAACTGCTTTTGGTCTGACTGAAAATGCGAGCAACGTTCAAAAATGGATATGTGATGAAGTATGTGCCATAACTTCCGAACCAGATAATTTAAATACTACAACTGCAAGTGCTAATATTAATGCTCATGAACAAGAACAATCGAATTCACTATGGCAAAAATTTGACTCAAAAGTATTACAAGTAAAAACTACAATCACTCCAATAGTGTGATGATCACACTAATGTTACGCCAGTACTTAGACATTCCACACTTGGAAAGAACAAAAAATCCATTGGAATATTGGCAACAATATAAACAAACGTTTCCAGAAATGTACAAGTTAAGTTCAAAATATTTATCTATTCCAGCAACTTCGGTACCTTCGGAACGTGTCTTTTCTAAAATCGGACAAATCACAAATGACCGCCGAAATAGACTTTCACCGAAAAATTTGGATATTATAATTTTTTTAAATTCAAATTTAAACATATTTTAATTTTTTTTTTAGATTTCATTATTATATAAAATATTAAGTTGTATCATAATAATTAATAAAGTAATCATGTTAAAGCTAATGAGTTATTGCTAATAATAAACTTTAAATATTTCCAGGAAATATGACTATACTAATATAATAATAAAAAATAAAAATAAATAAGTAGTATACAATGTTTGGTAAGTTTGGTTTGCTTTATTAATGATAATATAAGTGAGCGAGCGAAATCCCCCACTACCTAGTAGGCTAGTATCTACCTACTATTTAGTATTTGAGGTAACCGAGTGATTTTTTCGAGTACAGAGTAACTGAGTGGATTGAGTGTAATAATACTAAATTAATAAAATACTTAATTGACCGAGAGGTTTTTTCGAGTGAATCTCTCGATTGTTATAACTTCTCGATTATTGAAATCACTCGATTGTTCCCATCACTACTGTAGACGCGCGACTCGTGCGGCTGACGCAGTGCGACCGAAATTTTGGTCGCACCAGCAGCACGGCTCAATGACGGATTCCCTACAATACGCAATGACGCACGAGACGCGCGGCTGTCGGATAGTCCAACATTCGTCCAAGCACGTTTGATCAGTTAACAAGTGCTTTATAATACATATTAGTGAAATATTTTTTATTATAAAACCAGATATGTTACGAAGTAAAAAAAAAAAAAAATGCTCATCAAATTACTTCTTTTAGAAGAGATCAACGAAGAAGAAACAATACTCGAACATGCCATTAAAATATATAACACGAAAAAAACCCACAATTTGTTTCTCACTAGAAAAATTGAAGGATTTTATAGCATTTTAATTGAAAAACATTTGTTTAAAGATGAACAAAAATTTAGAGAATTTTTTCGATTGAGTTACGATCAATTTAACTATGTTTTAAATATTATTGAAGACGATATCAAAACCAATCCTAGCAATTGAGTCAGACAGCCCATTACACCAGCCGAAAAATTATCAATTACATTAAGGTAAGATTCAATTTTTATCAGTGGCGGATCTAAAAAAAAAGGCCCGGTCGGACATTTAAAATTGGGGCCCACGCCTCCCCTATTCCCTAATTATAATATCTTATTTAAAATGTTAAACAGGGTTGGAGGGAGAAGTATTTATATATTTAAAATTAATTCAAGAATACATACATAATAAAATACTTTAACTTATTTAATTTATGTTACCAACTCGTATAACAATCGAAAATTAATAATATTGTAAAACGTAAATATAAAATAAAACACTTATTTATAATACATAATATTTATTATAATTTATAATAATTCACTTTTATAACCTTTTCTAGCTTTTTTTTCTGAAAAAATTTTGATGGTAGATTGTAAATCTATTAATTCTGCTGTATCTCTTTCTATGTAAAGCATTGCATAATCATTAAGGCGGTCTTCACTCAATGTTGATCTACGGTAATCTTTGATTTTTTTCAATGAGCTCATTGATCTCTCTGCACTGGCAGTACTAATAGGTAACGTAAGAAATATTCTACATAGAAGTTGCATTTCTTTTATGCTATCTTCTAATTTCAAATCGGTTATAAATTTCAAGTACGTGTAAACACTATGTTCGTTATTCTCATGGCATTGTACACCGTCAACAAAGTAACAATCAATAAATGTTCTTATATCAAGTTTTAGGTCGGTTGAAAAACATTTATACTTGGAAATTAAATTTCTTGTATGTATATCTAACTCATCATTAGTAATATCTTTAAGTTTAGATGGTTGAAGGAAATCAAATAGTTTATGAAGAGACGTAAAATTTGTTGTTCTAATTTCTAACTCGTTTATCATATTATCACAAGCCTGAAAATAACCTAATCTATGTTTTTCACGAGCGGAATGTCCGATATCTCTTGCTACTTCACCGGCCATACTCTTCACCCGTCGAATACGTGTTTCTGGAAATTCGTTGTCAAGTTCCCAGTTTTCTTTGGCTCGAATTATTAAGTCAGTATAATATTTTTCTGATCGCATTAATTTTAGTTTTTTCAAAGCACATTCCATAGTCTTTGAAGCTAAAAACATATCAATATTAATTTTTTGAAAGATTATTTGTGCTGCATTTATAATTGTTAGTACATCATACCACCATAATAAGTTTAAATAAAATTGCCAATCCATTAAATTTATTAATGATTGTGATGATAAAATATCCTCCCTGGACGCCTGGTGTTCTGAACTTATTATATTCAAACAATTTATAACTGTACTGAAATTTTGTAGCATTGCTTCCACTGCGTGTAGTCTAGCTGCCCATCGCGTAGTACTTAAACTTTTTAATGTTTTGAAGCTATTTTTTTTTGTATTGTTTGATGAAGTTATATCACTTATTCCACTGTCCATCTCATTTTCAACAACTATTGAATTCATATTCATAGTATGACTATTCATTTTTGTTTGATTTAAAAAAAGTTTCCATCTAGAATGTGATTTTGAAAAATAATTATATATTTTTTGTAAAGTGGCAAAAAAAACTTTTATAGATGCATTTGCATTATTTTCAGCAGCGTGAACCAGTACAAGATTTAATTGATGAGCTGCACAGTGTACGTATGGTGCATATATTTCTTCACCTAAAAATTCATTCAGTTTCGCTTGTAATCCACCATGTTTTCCCGACATAACATTAGCACCATCAAATCCTTGACCAACCATAAATGATTTGTTTAGACCAATATCCTCAAAAATCGTTTTTATCATAAAATTACAAATACTTTCAGCATCGCCTTTATTCATGCTATAAAATCCGATAAAACTTTCTTTAATTACAATACTTTGTTCACATTCTGGATCTATTTGTACGTATCTCAATAGAATTGCCATTTGTTCTAAATGAGCAACATCAGTAGTTGAATCAGCCAACAAAGTAAAAAATTTAGCCTTTTTACATTGCTTGATTATAAGAGATTTAGTTTCTAATGCTAAAGTTTCTAAAACTTCATTCGTAATCGTTTTACTTAAATATTTAATTTTACTATTGGAGTTCAAATGGGAGATAAGAGTTGAATTATGTCTAGATATTAAATCAATAATATTTAAATAAATTCCATGATTACCAGGAATTCCAATATTTTCACGATGGCCTCTAAGAGGTAAACCAGATGCACATAAAGTACGTACAGTGTCGAATAATATGGTTAATATTTCTTTCCATTTTTTTACTTCGTTATCGATTTGATTCGACAAAGAACTTTTAATGTCTTTGAGTTTTTTAAAATTAAATGTTGCTATAGAACTCCTTAAATGCATTTTACTTTGGGCGTGCGCTGAATATGAATCTTTAAAATGTTTCCAGTCAGTAAAACCTCTATACCAAGAACTTTTCTTAGCTTCATTATCTCCAAAAATCCAACAAAATGACAATAAGCATAATGATTTCTAGGGAATATGCTAACCATGAACTTTGTAAGATTCGGATAATTTGTCCTTTTGTTTATATAAAAATAAAATTTAGAATCAAATGTATATTGACGTTCGTTTTGTTCATAATTTTGGGAAATTCTTTTCAATAATTTCTGATTGAGTAGGTTGGCAAGGGCCTAGATAAATAAGGTCAGTTTTTGTTCGGACATAAATATTGTCAAATGCTTTATCGTTTGGAAAGTATTATTTTGTACATTCAATTTTGTGAAGAATCTGTCACTCAGGTGGTTTCAGGTAATGTGTTTTCTATATCAACTATTTATCTTTTACAAAAGAAGTTTTTGAATTTTGTATAATTTCGAATTATTTAAATTTAATTTCGGCTCATTAGCTGTATAATGTAAAGATAATATAGGTTTATTTAATGAGAAGTCACTTGATGAATCCTGAACATGGGTTGATGAATATTTAACTCAAATGAATCAGACGTACAGTTTATAAGTGAAGAAGATATATTTGAAACCGATTACATAGTTAATAAATTTTTATCAACTTTTGAAGCATCAGGTATTGTGATCGAGCTTTCAATTAATTAAAATCAAGTACTTTTGTTTCTTATCAGATTTACATTTTCTAGTTCCTTCTTTCTTTCTTCCGTTTTAACTTCCGATTGTGTTTATAATTTGAATTGTAAGTTAGACATTTTCTCAAGATAAAAATAAAATTATTAATATTATCTATCTACCTATCAATGTTCATAAATTATATTTAACTAATATCAATAATCTAATATTTCTTATTATAAAAATACTATTAATTTAATTAATAATACATACATTTTATAGTTTATAATAAGACGTGTTCTTCAATGATGTTTCGTACGTCGTAACCGCTCAATAAAGAAATATAAATGGCAAATATAAAAGGATTTATATAAATATAAGATAAAATATACATGGGTCGATAAACGTCGACGACAATCGATATAAAACGTCGACGACAATGAAATTACCAGTTATTTGGTACTTTTAGCTCACTGCTATAATATCATAATATTCTGTATTATATAACAACTTTTAATAATATGGTTTATAGTATAATTATTTTAATACACTTATTTTTTTTTTATTAAATCTAGTGTTATCCCTATTATTTTGGCCAAAGGGCCCCTACGTCCAGGGCCCGGTCGGACATGTTCAGGTTGCCCGGGTGTTAAATCCGCCACTGACAAAATCTCACCTAAAAGTATTTATATTAACATTTTCCTGAATAGAAATGAATGGCAAAATAAATTAAGAGAAATATATGATATTAAGAATACAGTTAATGTGGATCATATTAATGCAGTGGTATCAGATAACGATTCGTCTTTGTCATCATCCGTAAAATGTGATCCAAAAAAAAAAATTATATACAGTAGAAATTCCATATAACTTGTATTGAACTATTCTCCCTGAAAGAAATCTTTACAGAGATGGGAAAAAATTTAGAACATATGAGATTTAAAAGCCATTCATTTGGACAGATGTGGTGAATAATGCCTTCATAAATACCCACCAACTTCCTTGTAAAGTGGTAAAGTGTTTAGATCCAACTTAAGAAAACACTTTATCACTTTTCAATCGAATTGTAAAGATAAATGTGGAGCTAAATTATCTGGCTAGAGTGATCACGAACCAGCAGAAGGAGAACCACTTATAATTAAAATTTTAACCAATGACACTAGAGGGATGGAACGTCTACATGTAACAAAAAGACCATTAAAAGGTAATAAAATACTGTCAGTGGGTTCAGATTTAGCTAAAGATTTAGCATGTAACTGGAGACGTAATAATGTGATTGATATGGGATATGGTAGGATTTCACCTCCAAATCTCTACAATCTGCACATATTAAGAAAAGCAAAACAAGAATACAGAGACAAAAAGCTAGGTATAAAATATAAGTGTCCAGTTGAATCATTAATAGAATTTAAACATAACTCAAGGAATTCAGGTTCTATCCATTCTATTATATGATCCTTTTTTTGTTCACTACTGGACAAATCATCAAGATATCCATCTACAAAGATCTTGGTATTAGTTATAATAAATTATCAATAAATGCAACAGGGAGCCTTGTAAAAAAACTAAAAAGAACCTCTTTAGAATTGTTATCAACAAATATTTTCTTATATGAAGGTATAATTAGTACAACTTATGGAAATATTCCGGTTACACAAATGATTTCTGAAAAACATGATACCTAGTCTATTTTTAATTGGCTAGCATCATAGATGTCTACAGGTTTACGCCCACCTAATGAGGTAGTTTGTGACTACTCTAGAGCACTTTTAGCAGCCATATCTAGAGCTTTTTTCAAGGGAGGCAATATTAATTCATACATAAGTCATATATTTAACTCACTCAATGATAGCGATAAAGAAGTACTAGACACTTATATTCGTTTGGATGTAGCTCATATGAGTAATATTTTTTGTCGTATTAAATGCTTATCTGGTATTAGGAATAATAGTTTGAAAGAATTTTATGTTCGTGGTTTTCGTCTACTGTTAACATCTGAAGACCTTCGAGAAAATATTGGAAAATTTGATGACTATAATGTTAAGTGAAACTGATGGATAGACGAGTGAAAAACCGCCTACTCCTTCAGAGATAGCTCGTGAATACATACTTAAATTAATAAAAGGTATTAATGAACAAACAGTTATATGAGCTTCGCCGAATTAGATGATGATGGTAAAGGTGATGATTATGAAGATGATCAAGATGACAATGATATTAATTATAAAGATAATGACACAGCAATTAATACATTTTTGAACAATATAAAAAAAGAAGCTTGGCAAATTTACTGGTTCAAGGCAATAGGATATCGCATATTATTTAACTGATTTATTACATCATACTTTGAGATTATGTAAACATTTTCCATTATGGACTAATGTTCTTCGTAATATATTTCAATCTCCATATCAAAGAGCATCATCTGCAGCTATAGAAAACGATTTTAAAGAATTGAAAACACAGATATTAAAATTCGACGTGTGTCCCATGATAAAAGACAAATTTGTAATAAAACACTTAGAAAGCATAAATAGCAACGTTAAACTTTTTAAAAGTAAACATTTAAGAAACAATATTGACACAGAACAGTCAGACCCAGATAAAAAAAATAACTCATCAATAAAATCTTATAAATTAATAAAAAATGTTGAAACAGAGATATAAGATACAGATAAAGATCTAAATTTTAATATGTTATTTAATTAATTACAGATAAAGATTTGAATAAAAAAGAAAATGAATCTGATACGCAGGACGAGGAATCTGATGATCAGTTCGAAGAATCGAATGAAAAAGAAGCTGATGAAATAGATTATGAATCTGATGATTCAATAAATGCCATCAAAAACTGGAAAGGTAAGGGTAGAGAGACGCAAGGTAATATTTTAGTTAAAAATGATAACAAACATAAAAATGTACGCCGAAAAACTAAATATATGAGTCGTACCAATGAAATTGATAGAATATTATCAATAAGAAAAACTCGCTCGACAAAAAATAGTTTGTTAATTAATGGAAATAAAGCTACACCTGTAATTTTATCAAAAAAAACGTTTCTTAGTACAAAACACTTGTTTTTTCGACGCCGTTGCCGTTTTAATTACAATCGCTTATACAGATAACTCAAAGTACCAAAAATATATAGAAGAAAATATTAATAACGTTTTCCTCCAATTCTGCAAAAATCTTGCAAAAACTGGACCAACAAATAATATTTACAAAACAAGAGTTTCCCTATTGCAAAATGTATTTAAGGTTGATACTGGGGTTACAGATATAAATTTAATAAATGCTACATGCAATGTCAATTTTATAGTAACAAGCTATTTAAAAAATGCACCTTCGGCTATTGAATCCATAACATGTACCAAATGTCCAATATATAAAAAATACTACAGTCCAACTATAGTATTTAATTTACAAAACGGGTTTAAGGATTTGGAAGATGACTTCAAAACATATTTAAAAGAGAAAAAGTTGAATTGTTCAAATTGATCAGAGATCGTGTCAATATCAAGGAAAATTATGCATCATTTATTTATGAAAACGGATTTTTATTTTCAGTTAAGCTATTCTCTTATTAATGCATTTTCAATACAGTTGGATTTAACCGATGACAGGTACCTAACAATAAAAAAATATCATTAAAATATACTGTGTCCTAAAAGTCCATTGTTAACGATATCAATAAAAATAATATACGCTTATAAATAATTATAAATTCACGGAGACCGCCACCGATCCACACACACACACAAACATTATATTTTTCTTAATTATTTTTATATTTTAATTGTGTTCGTGAATTATATAATATCATTAATTATTATTTAAATTAATTATCGGCGCGTTATCTGCTGCCGCCGGGCTCGGCGGTGCGCGTAGATTAACGCGGCTGCCGAAAGAAATTTTTGTCTTTTGCTATACGTCGTCGAGCGAAGACCAAACGTCCACATTTTTTTATATATTATTATTATTATTATATCTTTGTGAAAATCGACGTTATATTTTTCTTTTTTATCCATTATTGTGAGCAAGCCCGGATCAAGAGCTTCAGGGGCCCAGGGGCCAATACATGGTTGTGGGCCCCCGTTAATAAAAACAATTCTTTAAAATTATAAAATTATACAATAAAACAAATTTAAACATTTTTATTTAAATATGATAACTAAAGAGCAGATTTTTAGGTTCTTAAAAGCTTAAAATATGATGCTAATATGTTCTAATAAAACCCTAAAATATTCTTTAAATATTCCTTAAACTTGTAAATATGCAGATAATATGATTTGTTTTTTTTTCCAAAATAATTCAATTAAAACA